AACTGTCGTTCCCCACTTCTATCGCTGTTCCCCACTCTCGCTATGACGTTTTGCTTGCAACCTACCCGTGGGTAGCCCACGCGGGGGTCCGCTAGTGAGCCCAAAAAGTGAATCGAAATTAATCTAAACGTGTTAATTGCGCGTTACATACCTACAATTCCCAATTTGCGTCAATCATCGCATGTACCTTTCCGCGTCCGAGGGGTGCGTTTATTTCATGCCAACGCCAATTAAACTTTGTTAATAAAAGATCAGCGCGATGGTCAACGCAATCATCGGGCGAGTAAATACACACGGTGGAGGCAGAATGTCAAATATCCGAGATGCCCAACCGAGACTGGCGATTTCGATTCACGAGCGAGACTGGCGAAATTTCCTGTTGGAGATGAGAAGAGGGTAGCAGTCACCCTATTCGATGGTACCGGCGCTGGTTATTCCCCAGTCGGCGTCGGCGTCGCTCGCCTTGGATTATTCATCGAAATTCATCGGGGACAACCTCGCCCTTCGATCGAAAACGAACAACACACGCGCGTGTTCCGTTCTTCCCTCTGCGCGAGCACGCGTCGGTTCACTGACCAAGGCCCGATCGAAGCGGAAAATGACCGTACCCCGTCCGACTGCTCGCTACGTGCTAAGGTTTCAATTTGGATAAGAGCCCGGTCCCGATACGCCGCCCCCGCCTCGGAAGACGCGAATTTATACGACACCGCGAATGAGAATCAGCGCGGATAGCTCGCGCGAACACGCCGCGAGACCTGGCGGGTCGGCACGCGATGGGAAACCCACGAAGTAAACTGATCGCGTTGCCTCTGATCTTTCCCGATGTTATTGCTCCTACATTGCTCCATTTTCGAACATGAAGTCAGACACGTCTTATGAATGTTCGCAAGGAATTTTAAACCTGATTACGTCACGTATTATCCTACAGTAAATCATAGGTCAAAGGGTTAATACAAGTCACCACGATAGCAATGTTTCCACAAACACTGGTTTACTAAATTAATTTGAAAGTCGTCGCGTAGGCAGGACCTTTCTCTATTAATTCTCCATAGCCAATTCCCCGTTTCAGACCTTCGATTTTGCGCGTCAAACTCGCCATGCGATAATAACACAGCGACCCTCGACGGTCCCGTGAGAACGCTCGATCTGTCGGCTCAAAAGTTGCTCCACATTCGGTGACCTTTTCCAGGGCCGACGCAGAAATGTCAGGGTGTCGTCACGACCGCGACTCGTTTACCTCTTTCTTGAGTTATTTCTTACCGGCTGGTGTTTCATAAGACACGGGGCTTAACCAGGACGTGCAGAGTTCAAGAGTTCTGAGGCCTTGAAGCTTACGACCTCTTAGGTCTAAGAAGCTAACTGATCAGTGTTATACTTTGTTTAACGTTAGTTGGTAGTTTTTTTAAAGCTATTCAACTAGTGGGTGATACCTAGATCTTTCTTCTTCTACTTGAGGTCGTGTTCAACCAAAGTTTCTGTGTTAAGGACATTTTCCTTTGGATTACTTTTTTCCTGATGTTTAATGCCACCCAGTCACCAAAGTACCGATATTCCTACACTTGCGTCCATTTTGCCGAAGTCTGATCTGTCAACGAGGATCCCTCCGGTCCGAAACGCTGACATTAAACAAATCTTCCCGTCTGGGTTGCTCAACGGCAAGCAAAGCTCACGTTCCAGTTATTAAACCAAGGAAAAGGGGAGTAACAATCGAAAGTATCCGAACGTGGCGCCTTAATGGAAGACTATTCATCCCGCCAACGAGACGCTAATAAAGCGCCCGGGTAAGAAATAAAGAACGCGGACGAACAGAGGAGACATTAAGCCCCGATAATGGATTCTTATGTTCGTTCGAGCGTTCCCCGACGTTTCCGTAATATTCATTTCGCCATATTGTTACCGAGTTCCCTGGTGCTTCAGTCGTGCCAACGCGCCCCGGTGTTCCGGGGCAAGAAACTTTCCATTCCTTAATGAGAAAACAGACTGCATCCGGGACGACTGGGGAATGAGGAAGCGGAGGATGGTTGCATTAAATGCAACTTACGGGGGACATCATCCAATTGACGATCTCCCACTTTCGTGAAACTTGACACACGGACAGACAGTTGCGAAAGTGTTAGCCACGTATCCTTTCACGTTCAAGGGATGAACGATGTTCTCAGAGTTGGAAATGGAACATTTGCTTGGGACATTTACTTCCCAGTATTTTGCAACTTTAGACTGTCGACGTCATAAAGAGTAAGTAGTACATGATCAAAAACGTTGAAAATATTTCGTACTTTGGTCACTTGATTTGCCGGAACGATTTCGTTGATTCAACATGGTTTCTTCTCTGTATTACACCTAGTCTATGAGAGTGCGATGGGTTGATGACCTACAATTGAGTTTTTAAAGGTCTTCCTATAGGGCAATTGTACGCCGCGCGGAGACTCCTACTGTAGTTAGGGTGTCTCCTGCTAATTAAGGGGTCTTTATCCGACGTGCCCGTCATTTTTCTTCATTGTTAGGCCCCCTGATGAGAAAGCGTGACGACACATATCTCGTGCCACTCAAGGGATTATAAAGAAGCCAACGTTGGAAAGTCCCAAATCGGTCAAGTACTTTTTGAGACCACCGAACATACACGCAATCTCATTCTTGTTACTTCCACACTAACATCATAAAGACATAGTTTTAATATCGCCCAGTGAGCTCTGCACATAGCGTTTCAGAGTTTCGAGGCTACAATCTCTCCGATCCTGGTTCAACCGAACAGTGTTATCCTTCATTTGAGAGTGTCATTCTTCATTCTGTCCTGTTACAGCTTCCAGCGGTATCAACGCTATTTTCTATCGAATTACTTTTTCTTCGGTAGTTAAATACAGCGTACCGAAAGTCACTTCTTCTGGAAGCCCTAAAACCAGCGTAGCCCGATCAATCTCCCCTTCGATAACGACGCGCAGCGTCGTGCAATCATCTGTGGCTTAATCTTATCTCGATTCCTGAACCAGGAAGCCACGTTGAACAACAACGAGCAACGGACGCGGCGTCCAGGCGTTATCTTCTACTCGACTGACCGTAAGCAGGAATCGGGAGATCGATCATTCTGCGAAACAGTGCAACCGGCGATATCGACGGGCTGGTAACCTTGCGAAATTATTGACGACCGTTCCTAAAGGTCCGTTTTCATGTGATGCCAAGTCACGACTTGATGCAGCGACATACATATGTCACAGACGGTAACTCACGGTGAACACATTCTTACTGGACATCGATGCTTAAACCTTTCAATCTGAACTAATGAGGCTAGCGAAGATTGGGCCAAGACGTTGTAGATATTGGTTTTAAACGATATAAAAAAAGCAAGAAACAAAGATCGAGCGAGTTAAGCCTAACGGGTATTAAGACTTGATGGATACTTGATGCAAAAGCACGTTATATTCTTCTTTCTTGAGGGGAGATTCTTCGCACTAAAAATAGGCCTTGTGCTTTGTTTTTATCATTAAAAGGCTACTGAGACTGCCTTCTTTAGACTGAGAGCGACTATAATAAACATTTGACAGGGTAAAAATGGCACTGTCGCGTAGAACGTGACGGTCGGTCAAGTATTAACACGAGGAGCAACGTTCCAGCGTGGTGACATCAGCCAAAGTTTTCACGAACGACAGATATCGCCGCGGGGTTAAAAGTCGTGACCCTACCCGACGTAAAAATGGACCTTAAGTCGGAAACGATTCGCCGTTGGAACGAGCTCGAGCCGTTGATCGTTTCGCTTGTCCAGGAGCATATTTCCACGTCGCGTGAATCGGGAGGGCACGTTGCATCGCGGGAATTGAATCAACGCGGCGAGGTTCGTTGATGGAGATGACGGAAAACGAGATAGAAGGCGCGAGGAGGAGAGCTGCAGAGGCGGAAAAAGAGAGCGAGAGATTGGAGAGCAGCGAGGGTGGCTGAAGAGGGAGAGAAAAAGCAGGAATAGGTGGAGTAGAAGCAAGAGGAAGCAGGGGACACAAGAGGAAGAGGAGGAAGAGCAACCCATGGTGGGGGATCAATTTAGAAGCCGTGACTCACTCGACACGGTGACGTCGTTAGCGCACCCCTTCCGCACCCCTCCCCCGTCCTCCTCGTGCCGCCCCCAAAAGAAAAAAAGGGGGAAGGAAAAAAGGAATAATCCGGTCACAACTCTCTCTCTAAGCGAGAACTAATCGAGGCCAGTGCACACCGCCGAGCGAAGCGCGGGGTGGGATGTTTCACCGTCGGTCGACGAGAGAGCCTCGAGTATTATTTCTGGTATTCGCGTGTACCGCTGTTATCCGTCGAGATGAGGGCCGGATAGAGAGGACAGAGGTGGCACGCGGGAGCAGAACGGAAAGGGCGCGCAGGAGTCATCGTCGCGATAACACCGCCGGCCCCTCGTTACCACGAAAAAAAACTCGACCGTCGTACCGGAGAGTTTTACCTATGGCACCGTACAGGTACCTCACGCGCCGGTGACTCATGTTTACCAGGCCTAGGGGTTGAAAATAAAAAAAAGAAGAAGAAGAAGAAGAAGAAGAAGAAGAAGAAGAAGAAAGAGCAAACGAAACGCGCGAGAGTGCGAGAAACAAGGAAACTCAAGGGTCGAGGGGAGGGTGCAGACGAGGAAGAGGATACGAAAGGGGAAGTTATCCAACGCATCCTCTCCCCCGCGCCCGCCGAGGCAGCGTCCCCTTGTCCCAATTACCGTTACCCATCGCGCACCGCCTCGTCCACGCTCGTAATTTCCATCCGACCTCTATTTCCTTCGCAGCCGTCGAATTTACGCGTCCCTACCGTAACCAGCCCGAGGCAGCCCCGAAGAACACCAGGACCAGTGCTCGACGCGTGACAAGGTGACGGCGACAGAAATCGCTGGAACACGCCGGAAATCCGCAGGATTTCGTTAACGTTGGCCCCACGTTTTCGCTCGTGGGAGCCGCACGAGGCTACAGAGCGGAATTAGAGACCGGAAGAGTCTGGGTATGTCCTTCGAGCAGGGTACTCACGAGGCACACGATCAACGAGGATCAGACGGCACTCGGCTAGGAGACGTCGACCGTTGGATCGTCGACCGACGAGCATTCTAGACCGATTCCTCCGTTCTCCGAGTACTAGCGTCGAGGACCCCGGACGATCCTCCCGTTGTCACTCCGGCAACACCCACTTTCTCCTCTGGCCTCGTAAACCCGAGGGCCACTTTTCCTTCTTCCCCTCGCCACCGTCGTCGAACGAGGCGCAGCACCACTCCGGCAGGCACCACCACAACCACGACGCGATCTCCTCCGACTACAAACGGGCACCACACCACCGCGAACAGGAAGCAACCACCAACGCCACGGCCGACCACTACCACTGCCACCGCCGTCGCGAGCAGCAGCAGCAGCACAGCAGCCCCGTCCTCGTTGTCCCGACTTTACGATACAGCCCGCCTCAGCCCCAGTTCGCGGGGATTTCTCCCGACTTTTTACCGCTATCGACTACAGCCCGTAATAATTCATCGCACACGCTCCGAACGACCCAAGACTCGCTATCTCTGGCCACTCCTCGCGGTTGCCACGACGCGTGACCATCGACGGGAGAGAGGCACCCTCCGAACGCGAGCTACACGCGGAAAGCCGAGAGCATGGGAGACGATTCCGTGGCTCGCTGCGGAAACGCCACCGTGAGCTGGCCTACCCTACGCGCCTGTCTACTCTCCCAAGCCTCGAAAGCCACCCTCCTCGCACCCCGCCGCGGCACCTTCTGGCCACTCACGACAGCAATATATATGGGCGATCGTGACACACGCGTGCCCGTGACACGTCCCAGCATGCGCCCTTCTTAGCGCGCCTCTGTACCGCACGCGTCTGACCAAGTACGGCCTAATTCCCCTGATCCGCGCGATGGCGCTCCTCTCCATGCGTCATCTAGAGACTTCTTCTCTAGGGAGCCTATACAACGAAACGGAATTTGTTTTTTCATCTTGAAAGCGGACACGAACTTTGATGGCCTTGACGCGTGCTTGAGGTATACGCGCGGCCCACGTAACCTGAAGGGGCCATGGGTTCCAAGAAGCTGAGGACTTATCCTGTATAGAAAAATGCCATCCCTTATTAAGTATTTGTCTTTGAAGCTTCCAATTAGCTTAGAATTGTTCTTAAACCAGTACCATTGTACACTTCAAACCTTGTGAGGGAAGAATAAGGATTTATGCTTAATTTTATGCTTCTGTAACAAAAAAAAAACTCTTCTGTAACTCTTTATGGTGCATCGTGATACTCCAAGTCGATCAATTTGGTTTACAACTCACGTATTCTTGATTCACTTTTAATGCCATTTGAATTTACCGCCACGACTGCTAAAGTCAAACCTGCACCTAGTCTAGGGACTCTTGCGCCGTAGGTAACGTCTAAGAACCTAACCTATAGCATCGACGAGAATAAAAAACATTTAATATTTAATAAGAAACTGTGTATCGTGAGCTGAAATACCGATATCGTAGAAAATCGTTGATTTTTCAGCTGGTTTTATATTTGAAAACGATTTTGGGCATTATGTACAGTATAACTGAAATAATGTTCGGATTGGCATTATCCATGAGAAACAATTTGAATAAAAATCCTTATCCCTTATCCTTTATCCACAAAGTCCGAATGGGAACACTAAACGTACTAGTTGAAAAAAGATTCTAACCTAACTATACTTGTAACAAATAAATGGAAACAACACAATTTCACTTACTCTGCATCGACCTGTAATTGAACTCCATTGATAATGCAGTGTCAATTCATGATTATCTTCCTATTGACACGCAATATCGTGTAGTAGAGCTCCTCGAAGCGTCCTTGAGTTTGAGGTCAACTTCCATCGCCATTCTCCTATGAAAAGCTCCGACTTGCTGGAACGAAGAACAGTCGGCATCGCAGAGCCATGTCATGGCGCGACAACCATGACAGCAAGTGCAGCAAGTGTGTTACTCATCGACGAATCGGACAGTAAACTTAATATGTGGGGTGGTTTACGGTGCAATCGAATCTTCCTAATATTGTTCCTGATTCATATAATAGCATTTCAAACTTACGTATGTAAGTATTCATTTACCACTGTGTATTTTCCATTCACATCTTGCGTCGTAGGTCGATTCGGTTTACGCATGTGAACGCGTTTGAGCATGAGGCATGTCACAGATTGTGTCATAGGTTCTGTTTCTAAATGCATTTTTTCATGCAATTTAGGAATATTTCAATTGTTCCAATGAAATTATTGAATTAGCAGCAACAAATATGGAATTTCGTCTTTGTTTACTCTTCGGTATCCAGTTAATTAAATAACGTAAACAATGTATGTTTCTTGGCCTTTAAAGAGCATGCGTTTATTTGAACTTATTTTGACGTTTCGACCGCATGAGTTTGGTTCCCTTCGAAAAATTGATATAATAATAATATTGGATCAGATAAATTGTGAAAAATTAATCAGACTTAAAATTAAATAAAGCAATAAGGGAAATTAAAAATAGGTAATGACGTGGTCAATAGTACTTACTTAGAAAATGAACATAAATGAGGAACTTATGTGTAGAAAAATAGGATGCTGGATTTTTGGTTAGGTTTATGTAGCGAAGCAATTCCTGAGTGATTAAAGCATTTCATGATGTGTTCACCTAACTCAGATTTAAAAGAAAAATAGAATTGTCAAAATAGGAGCAAAATGTAAAATATTAGATATAATTATCTAAAAACAAAAGTCTTATCTTTATTATTATTTTTTTCTTTCAGATTATCAGGAGCAATGCAAATGGCAGGAAGTAAAAGAGAATTTGATGTCGATAATGACAGGTACAGAACTTTATTGTAGAACAGGTTACACCATATTTCTTGCATTACAGTTGACTCATCCGTTTACTTCTTCTTCCCTTCAACAGAAAGGCAGGAATTGTGGAGCGAGTTGGAGTTGTTAGTGAACAAGGAGCAGGATGTATACAAACTCATAATAAAGTTGCTGGAAGGGCAGGGTGTGCATGGAGTTAACAGGACCCAGGAACTCGCAGATAAGCCCATAATCTATGCTGTTACACCTACTTTTGCTAGGCCTGTACAAAAAGCAGAGTTGACTAGGCTAGCGCAGACATTCCTACATATACCTAACTTCCACTGGATCCTCGTCGAGGACTCGGTGAAAAAGACGAAACTCGTCACGCAATTTTTACAAAACAGTGGTTTGAGGTATACCCACCTCGCTGTGGCAACCCCGCTCAATTACAAGTTAGGGCGAACCGATCCGAACTGGAAGAAACCACGTGGCGTCGAGCAACGAAACGCAGCGCTCAACTGGCTTCGAGATAATTTGAAATTAACCGATAAAGGGATCGTGTACTTCGCTGACGACGACAATACGTATTCGGTGAAGCTGTTTCATGAGGTGAATCGCATTTGTTTGAGCCATTACTAAAAATACTGCTTAGTTCTCCAAAGTACTTATACGAGAGGCTTCGAGTCTAGCCCGCCTGACTTTGAACCAACTTTCAAGCTTCTTGATTTTATCACTAGACAATCGTTATTAATATCCCGTAGCAAATGATCGGTCGAGTCACGGAAACGTTACCCAACACCTGTTGCAGATGGAGAAGGTTCGGAAGGTCGGCGTGTGGCCGGTCGGTCTGGTCGGTGGTTTAATGGTGGAGAAACCAATGTGTGATAACATTACTAATAAGGTAATCGGTTTCAACGCGGTCTGGAAGCCGGATCGTCCATTTCCGTTGGACATGGCTGGATTCGCCATCAATCTGCGTCTTTTACTGGAGAACAAAGACGCGTTGTTTTCCTATGAAGTTGAAGGTGGTTATCAGGAGAGCGAGATCCTGAGACAGATCGTCACTAGGGACGAACTGGAGCCGCTAGCGGATCATTGCACAAAGGTATGTATTGGCTATGATCGCTCAACTCATTGCGATAAACAATATGTTTCAAATTAGTTTTGCTGGAATCTCTGCTTTCCACAATTTGTATCAGGTGTACGTCTGGCACACGCGCACAGAGCCACCGCAACTAAGCGTAGAACAGCTTTTGATAAAGAAAGGTAAACGCTCAAACATAGGTATCGAAGTGTGATAGCAACATCAAGCTTGACTAAAAGTTGGACTACTGCGTTTTGCGATCACGAAAGCTCGTGGTGGCGTAGACAAATGTCATCATAACTGTCTGAAAATGAGCGGAAAATAGCGAATTTTATATACGCTTTATATCATTCGTACTTGGCCATGTACCTACTCTTCATTGTGGTAAAATGCAGTGCCATAACGCGTAGTCGCTTATAGCGTATGTTCGACGAAAATACGGGTCTGATATTGGTTGATTTCGGGGTTAAACAAACGCGTTGACATTACACGTACCATGGATCGGTACTATTACGGGTTTACTCCTAATCAACCCCCACGAATCTCTCTAATTAAGCGCTTTTTTTTTTACTTTCTATATTTCAGATACTATGAGATCTTTCTTTATACGATAATAAAACTTGCGAATGTATTTTTTAGTAAACTTGGAACGATAACGAACGTTTAAAGAAATAAAGTTATTTATAGAACGAACGAAACTGCGAAGAGAATCATTTGACCTTCAACCTTTGTTCTTTATCCTTTATTAGTCGAGTACGTTTCCTTGACGCGTACAGAAAAAGCATACATAAAAAATATGCCTTACACCTACGAACTTTAATAATATTCGTAATAGTTTTTTTTTTCTCTTTTCTTGTCTTTAAATTGGAAGATGCGCAGTAATACTTTTCGTGGGAAGCTACTTGGGTTACGGATTTTGGCAACGAATATAAAATAGCTAGATAAACGTGACCTCTCCTCCCCGTCGAATCGGTGAACGACTCGGCGAAGGCTTGAAATACTGTTATGTGACGATTACGAGACGAACAACTCGCCATTTTCTTTCTTTTCTCGTCGATATATATATTTTCTCGTGTATAATGTGTACTCGTTGACTTACAAGCTAATAAGTACTATATATTTGGCAAAACTCTGTGTTTACGGTACGTAAAAAAGCTACCGGTACAGAAAGCGTGTTCGCAACCTAGGAGACGTTGGTTTTGCTTCTAATTTGTATTCCTTATTTTTTATTCTTCCTTTTTAGATACAATTATCCCCTTCAACAAATATACACGCGATCAATGATCTTCTCGGTTACTTTCGTTAGTCTTTATTCTTCATTATATTTCTGCGAACCCACCTTCCGTACTTGCATACAACATCCTAAACTTACCGGACCCACCTAAACTTATCTCAAATAGTCCATCTTAATGATTAGGAAAAACGTTTACAAGCATTTACAAAAACTTATCACATTTTAACTGCGTTTTCTCGAAAAGCCATCTTAGACATTAGGACAGAACTGATATTTTTACGTTATCGAATATTATGTAATATTTATATATATATGGCAGCTTTCGATTGTTCTCTCTTTCCCTTACGTATTCTGAAACGATAATTCGAACATCCGTCAAGACAATTTGACAAGTGTCGCAACTCGCGCGGGTTTACTTAATTCGTTCGCCGAATATCGAAAGTGTCGCTGCTTTTGATTATACTATACATACATATTCAGAGAGACTTTTTAACGTAATGAACATACATCCGAGTAGATTGTCGCCACAGTCGGTGTATCGAGTAACCTCGTTCTGGGAACTCTCTTTCTAATTACCGTATCTTACAGTCCTTAGGTATACTGTTTCGGGATCGTCATCGATAGATCCGATCGCGACGACACGCTATCTTATCGACCAGAGTTCTGTCGCCATAGCCGCCCAATTTTCGTTCGGATTACTTTCGCACTTACACAGTAAACTAACGTAGGGTACATAAAGAAAGAAAAAAAAAAGGAAACACTAAGTAGTAAAAACATAAAAACGGAAAAACGGAGGCTAGACGGATTGGACTGTACTCGTACGCGACATTAATCTTTACATTGTATAAATGTACACGGTAAACTTATCACCATAAATTATCACGGACAAAAAAGAACATTTCACGACATCAAGTGTCTACCTTGAAGTAGAAAGAAACTCAACTAATCAACTATAATAACCGCGGAGGATCGCACGGTGCGCAACCAAATACGTCAGTCATGTTCGTGGCAGGCAAGAGTTACATTTAGTTCAGCCGAACGTTTAGTGTCATTTGTTTTTTTGTTTTCGTTTGTCATAAAATCGTCTCGTATCTACTGAAAGCGACGCGAGTGACCTGAGCTACTTGATAGTCGATGATAAACCGGTACGATTCGTTTTCATGAAATTTTACTCTTAAAGGAATCAGTCTTTGAACCAAGGTCGTGTAAACCACGAAATCGATAACCTGGCGTTTAGAATCGTGCCGAACGTTAAGAAAATGAAACGTGTCTGCGTCGTGGACCGTACAATACGGTTTCTAATCGAAACAACTCGCAGGAATTGGGGCTGTGGTGGAGATACAATTACCTTCAAAATGTATATATACAGAGCAGAGGCTGTCGCGAAATCCGCGAACCTCTTTTAAAGAGAGATAGAGATAGAGAGAGTCTGTTCTCACATTTTGTTTCATTTCTGCTACGCGAAAGCTGCTCTTAGATTCTTCAATTTCTAACTCTAGTTCGACGTAGCAGAAACGAGACGAAATTCGGGATTTCCTTAATTCCTTCGTGCTGGCGCGCACGATAATGGAGTACTACCCAGCGTACTAGACTGCGATTATCTAAGAGGGTGCCTCGAAGCAATGATCACTATTTATCGACCAACTTCTACCAATTTCGCGATCAATTTTGTACATTCCTCTTTCTCGTGCAAGCGATCTATCTAGCTCCTCCTCGCAATATTTCTCTAAGTTACATCGATAGATTTTTTTCTTTTTTCCTAGAACGATCCTCGAACGAGTCCGTTTCGTACCCGTTTCCCGCTGGATCGTGAATTACCGTTATTGTATTTCGTTATGCTTTGGCGATTACACTGTCGAGGGAGGGGGGAGGGGAAGTGGGAAGAAAGATTTACCTTTTTTTTTTCTTTTTTTTTTCTCTTAAGGCTTCCCACATCGTCTCAAAACAGCTACAACGCTATCGCGGTTGGTGTTCCGCGAAAAAATATGGTCAGAGAATTTTGTTAGAAATTTCGTAAACTGCGAACTTACCAATGCCAGAGTTACTTTTTCGTCCTGTCCTCGAGGAGAGAGGACAAACGAGAATGTTCGCGCGCATCGTCCTGTCGATCATTGGATATTTACCACGAGTAAAGCAGTCGAACGGTGTCTCACGTTCGCTCGATCGCCGTCAGATGGGGCGCGTTGCACCCCTAGGAACGAAGTTTCGCGGGAAATCCCCGGTAAAACACGAATTGTTTGAAGCCAACATAGGAGACCAGAGCGTCCCGACACCCGTGAAACCTCGTTCACCGCGTACTACGTGTACATTCCAAGATGTACGAGCTCTTTCGTAACGTTCGAGAACATTTTGGCCAGAAACAACGTTTCCACGGTGATTTACAATCTAGTACGCCGGAAGAATATCTAAACGGCCGAATCCTTGCCGACGAAACCGGTCTTCGAGACGGACCTCTTCCCGTCGAAGGTGATGGATGTCTCTCGACGCAGGCCAGAGTCGATTATCGGTGTGATCTTCTTTTCTTCCTTCAGCGGCTCCTTCTCGTCTCTAAAATGTTCCAATGCGCAAACAAGGTTAATCTTGGAGGGAAAAAACGTTTCATCGGCGGCATCGGTACGGTTAACTTCTATTACTGGGCATAAAAGAGCATGTCGAGAGATGCGGCGCGTGGTGCAACATCGATTAATATGCATAAGGCATGCCATCACTCGTTAGTATCGTGTGTATTTGCAACATTCGTAGATCTATTCTCGTGTGGTTCAACGAAACAGCGAGCAATGTACGGTGGGTCGCAAAATGTGCCACTTAACGAGATCCCTGAAAATCATCCGCTTCCAGAAATTTCTACTGAAACTATAATATAACCATAATGTATCCGCGCGTGAGATACATTACGAGTACCAATTTCACGAAACGACTGATTTTCAGCGGGTCTGTTGATTGACCTATTGCGATCCACCGTATTCAAGGATCTGAAAGAAGTCTGTAGCTTTGGAAGACATTCAAAGAAAGGAAGAAAACAGTGTTCAAGTTGTCGTTTGGACGTTTACGCATTCACACGTCTAAAAATTGTTTTCGGGGTTAGCGTCTACCCGATACTCTCGCGACTCAACGAGACCGAATCACCTACGTCCGTGGTCCACGGCCGAATGGAACGGGGTAAATTAGAGCGTGATGGTGGGTGTGCTACGTAGTTAACGAGCAATTAATATCACTTCAGAGTGTTGATATCTCATGCAGCATAGCCAAAGCACGGGCGAGAATAATGGCGACAGTTTTATGCAGAGCGCGTGAAGAGTGGATTGGAGGTAGACAGAGAGGAACAGATAAGCACTAAATGGAACTTAATAAGATGGTGACGTTCGTTGCACGAATTTGTACAACGTGCTCTCGTACGAAAAAGTGGTTGGCGGCGGGAAGAAAAGAAGAAGATGAGGTGGGACGGGTATAGTGAGACAGTAGAAATAAAATGAACAGGCAGCAACAAAAAATTCTTTCATGCTCGATTCCTGTTTCATCGACGAGTCCGTCGATCTGTTCCTTTCACATGGCATGATCGACGAGTGTGCGTTCCCAGGATGTTCACCAGGCAACGGGGAGCCGAGAAAAGAACAGAAATCATACGAGAAGGAGGGAGAAACAATCGGAGAGCATTAAATTAGAAACAAAAAGAATTTGGAAAAAAAAAAAATCATGCCAAGTAGAAAGCCGTGTCGGAGCCCCCTCGAGAGGGGCCATGCTTCTTACTGATTTCAGTTATGTATCTCTCTTACATGGCAGTGTGTTTGACCAATCTAATGGTATTTTTTCCACTACCCGAGTCTTGGATGGCCGTGACCCCGGCGACATTGGCCATTTTTTGGTCGCAATACGGCAATGGAAACCGCCAACCGTAAAGACTACCGGTAAAGAAAAAAAAAGAGAAAGATGCGAGAGGGTCAGAGTGTGTCCTAATGGCGGGCTAAGATTCTAACCAATTAACCACAGTCTAACCTCGGAACAGGTTACTACTTTTTTTTTCTTTTAATGAACGTTCCTTCGAATGTGAGAGGTGGAGGACAAAGGACAAATGAAAGTGTGGCAAAGGATGGACGGTTCCTGTTTATCGAACATATATATTTAAAAAAGTTTATACTGCTAATTGTAGACTTATAAACTAACAAGATTTATAAGCTAACAGGCAAATGATTTTATTTGAAAATTCCTCTATTTTTATAATTTCACACGGTTTACGGAAAATTTAATTAAATCTACTTTTCTATATGATGCCATTAATCTCCCCCTTTCATTTTACACCAAAATGTCCCTAGTTTTCCAAGGCAATTAGTCTCGGTAGTTGGATAATTTTAAATTACACAGTGTAGAGCACTGGAACAATTAAGATTAACAGTGTCAAAGAAATGAAGCAAATCTAGTATTCCAATAAACCGGCACCGGGTAATCCAAGGGACAGGAGTTTATCGAAATTTTCGCGTTCTAAACTAAGTTGTGTGTCAGGTTCCCGTGGAATTCGCGATTCGCGGATTCTTTCAATGGCTGAGAAGCAGAAAGATAGTGACCCAAAATCTGAACGAAGTTCGATGACACGGTAATGTAGCGCCAGACTTGCCAAAGCACAATGTAAAATAGATGTAATGTATATATATATATATATAGGAAAGTCGAATAAAATATCTAAAGATCGAAAGGGTGTTTTGTGTGTGTTGTCTGTTTAACGGGTTCGATTGAAATGAGTCTCACCTGCCCAACTTGGCGTCCTCCTCGTCCACTGGTTTCCGGCGAGACCGCTCGCAGACATAATATATAATTCCTGCAACAGAAATTTCATTTATTAATTTTAGCTCTAACAAGAAATTATTTCTCCAACAAATACGGAATTTCTGTTGCAACGTTTCGCGTTACAATTTCGAACGAAATTACAGGACCTTTCCAAATAACATTAATTTTACAATTTCAGACAAATTCGCGTTGCAACGCGCGCTACGCGCGTATTACAGTTTTCAAGCGAGATTACACAGCTGTTTCGAATAAATAATTTTGCAACTTTGGGTTAATTCACGGTTTCTGAGCAATTTTTAATAAACATAGAGTGCGTACAGAGGATACATTTGCGATATAAGTTCGTTATTTTCTCACCTGTTTTGTGAGCGCAACAGCAGATCACGTCGATGACGATAATGATGATGAACAGTACCGCGATCACGATACCGATTATGGCTGCGCTCGATATCAGGGGCCCTTTATGGTGAACCACGGTGGTGTCTATGAAGAAAGAACAAGAACAGTGTATCAGATATAAGTGTCGCGGTGAATATTATATATTTCTTGCAATCCGTTAGTGCAAAAGCAGTACTTAACAATGTTTGGTGATGATAAGGGCAACATGGTTATTTTACACATAAATATGGAAACGTACTGGTAGGTTTCATATAATACAATTGATTAAACGCACAGAATTATTTTATTATTAACTTCGAATTTTATTAACGTCATTCGTGAAGCGTAATTACTTGAAGGTGTACGGGTACTTGAAAAGTTCGGGTGGTTTATAAAATGAGTTCTGTGTTATCCGTGAAAACTGAGAAAATAATTAACGAAGAAATAGCTGAAGTGTGCAGTACGATTTTATTTTAAATGCCGACTACTGAAATGTTTGGAACACTGACATTTGTTAGTCACTCGTATGATAATATCAGTGTGACATCTTTGGGAGACTCGTGAACAACATTAATTGTTTAAACCATTTTCTACGTGGAAAGAATGGATAGCTTTTCTCACGTTACATCCTGTTCGCTGTCCTCCTCGATTATTCCAATTCTGGGCAATTCTGGGAAAAAATTCTCCACCGATCCTCGGTTAATGATAACTCTTTTCAGCGAGGCACCACCGTCATCGCGTCCCTTCTAAGAAAAGTAGTACACTTTCGAGCACTCGCACACCTCTGGTAATTACGCGATTAGCAGAGTACTGTCATAATCCTTAAGTCGAACATTTCTCATACACCGTGTCACGATTGCGTTCCACGCAACGTGTATATACCCGGGGATCCAAGCATCACCAAACACGGTTACGCGGACGATATTAATTTTAGTCTCCTGAAAAGAAAACAAGATCGGCGGGGTGGTTCTGGGGATGTGCGAAAAATCCGTTTTCATCGAAGCGTAGACACGTAAAGAACCAAAAACCATAAAAGCAAACAACGTGTATACGAATCGGAAAGAATAGAGGAACAGAAACAAAAAGTAAGCGATCGTCGTAGACGAAGAAGCGGTAAAAAAGAAGCCGTGGTTAGAACGTGAAAAATTAGGGGAAAGAAAGTATCTGATGCAACGTACGAAGCGCGAAAAAAGTAGTTAGCGTACACAGAAGCGACAGAGGAGCTAACCTTCGTCTGCAGAGAGCAGATGAAGGGTGCCGAGAAAGCTCAAGGAAGGGGGACGAAAGCTCATTCGCTACCTTTCTCTCCCGATGGTTAGTCTTCTACGCATCGCTAATCTAAATGTGCTACCTTCACACAGAAAGCCTTTTCACTGATTGCCTCTTGCTCGCTCTCTCTCACTCTTTCTCACTTTCTCGCTCTCGCTCGCTCGCTCTTTTGCTTAAAGTCAACAGGGACTACTACGATATACTTAGCAAATTGTATGATACACATTACACCGGCCGTTTTCTTCTGATGTGCTGAGCATATTTACCGTTTTCTTTTGGAGCGTGTCCTATCTTGTCGAGTGTTTTCTCATATTTTTTTTCTTTTTTTTTTAAAAAATAGGTGAGACGGAAAATGAACGAGACGGCCGAGGGAGAAACCATCTCAAGTCGATGTGTCCGTTCCGCGTTTTTCGATTGGACCTTAACCCCTTCACGCTCGCGTCTGTGTTTTGATTGTCGCAAAAGAAAGTGGTGTTTTTGTATAAATGTAGTGTTTCGATGTAACATCCGTTGCGTAGGTTCTTAGTTGATCACTCTAGCCGTCGAAGTGGACGTTCGGTTGATGGTACCTTATCTTGCCAAGTATATTGCACGTTTAGTTCCCATTTAGGTCGTTACGTGTGTACCTTCTCTCGCTATTAGGTTCCTTTTCATCTTCAATTACAATTCAGACCGCTACTAAGTTTGTTTCGATCTTGAAGTATAACTTGGACCACTAGATGGCTAACTTCTCTCGAAAATAAACTTAATACGGACGAGGTAAACGCTGTACAATTTATGATACAAAAGTAACAGTATCCAAACAAAATAGAGTATGTAGAAATGAAAGTGCGAGTCATCCTTCCCATCGCCTTTAAGACTGACCTACGATTCACCCGCATTACTGGCAACGCTAATCCTAAGCTTCGATTTGGTGCGAATACAAAATTCATTCGTGAATAATGAACGCGTCAAGGGGTTAAGTCGCCCGCGATTAACGATCCGCGAGTCGCATATCCTCGTTAAACAACGCCGCGCCAGAAATTCTGGTCGTGATTAATTCTGCCAAGGATCATCCTCTCAAGTTGCAGCCCGTTTGATAATCTCGGCTCGAAATCGCGGCAGCGGATACGATTTGACGATGGCTTCTCCATCGACGGATTCATTGGTCTGATATTCCTTGAACACTCACATATATATTTCCGTACTCATATTTACAATAAGTGTTCCACGTGAGGGGGAACCGTTGCGTCCACCCGCTTCATAAATACGAATATTAGGCACTAAGGCTAGCACATGAATCCTTGCACGCGTGTAAATGCTATCTCTCCCTATATATATATAATTAAAATATACCACGTTCGCTACCCAGCGATGATTTCTTACTTTTATGTCTGTATAAACGAGTGAGACGTGAAGCCCAGACCAAACATTGGGTAAATTTGTATTTGGATAGAGATATTTAATGGAGGATACGAGGTAAATAGATTTTATATTTATAATCTGTTCGATTAAAGTTACCTATGCCTCATTGGAAGTTGCTCCGAACACGAACTTTTCTCGTTACTTTTTAACAGTGAAAATGAAAAAGTATCGTTAGCTGACACAATCACTCGTTTGCAATGAAATATTAACGAATTTTCTGGTTTTTGATGGATTGGCAGGCATCGGTACTACGACGTATCTTGACGAAATTTGAAAGTCGAATATAGTTACTGCAAACCTTGACAGACGGTTTTCCAATTGAATGGTGGTAGCGAACGTGACATACGTATATACGTTCGTACACATACATGTATATTGTATACAGACATAAGTGATGCTCGAGTACGTGTACTCGTCGGAAAATTACTCGCGGTAGAACGGCTTCGAACACGCCTAATTCCCCGCGTGTTCTCCTTTCTTTCGTGTATATTTTTTTGGTGTGTGTGTGTGTGTGTGTTTTTTTTTATTTCTCCATCTTGCCTCCCGTGAAAACCGAATGAAAGACGCAGCACGCGCTTTTGTGCTCGAGAGTTTCGCGCTTTCGTTTCTTACATTCCCATTCTCGTTAACTCGGGTACGCATCGCGGATGGTAATACGGTGAAAAAAACGAGAGAACGTATCCGTAAATTGTAGTGGCGATCATTATTCGCGTCGTCGTCAAGGGTAGAAGAAAAATGAGAAAAGTATGTCCTACTCGAGCGCTGCAATTGACAGGATCGTGCTTCCGCCATTTTACTTATTTAATACGACACGGACACGGATTCGTATCGTATCTAAACATGCTCAACTGGGTTGGTTCTTCGAAAAGGAAATTACCATTTTTAAATTCTAGGAGGAAAAGTGCAAACATAAAAATAAAAAAGTTATTTCGAGCCACTCCGATACTCTTCCTCCATTTTATAATTTTATCCATCACGCTACCACATTAGAATAAAATAAATTTCCACGCAATTAATGTTGCGATTTCTAATTAACAGTAAAAACCTTCGCATTATTGCTCCTACTATCATATCACGTGAAATTGATAATTTCCCTTTTCGTAGAGGACCAACGACTACCTTTGAGTGTACCTGACATGACTCCAGCGACACTGTGTTATTTAAACTATACGAGCACGATTAAAAATTATCCAAACCACTTATCCTCCTCATTATTACACCCTGTGTTACGTGGCCAGAGACGCTCTTCCAGGGAGCAGTCGACGAAGGGAAAATTATCCAGACGTGAAACGACGCGGAGGATTGAAAAACGACCCCGTCGATGGAGAAGGGAGGTAACGAACGAGAAAGCAGAAAAATTTCGGACGCGAAAATGGAAACGACCTGCGGGGGCGGTAACGAATGTTAAGGAACGATTCTACGCGCGTCAGGGAATTGTAGCGTTTGTAATTGTAGAACCGTCGGATGAGACAAAGAGAGAGGCAGACTTCTCTTTTGGCTTTTAGCGGGAATAACTAGCTGGTGAAAACGTAGTGCCCAACGTTAATGCTCGGAAATTTCGCGCTCCCTTTTAATTTTCTGTCATTTTTACCATTCACTGAGTTCTCTATTTTCATTCGACGATTCTGTACCGACGATGAGAACGAGAATGGACCGTGGAAAACAATTTTCCCGGCCGATGGAAAATGGCTTCCGTTGGAACTTGACGGGAATGCCTATTGTTCCTATTTGGACGTCATAGTCGAGGTGGATCGGGTTCGAAGTAAAGAAAATGACCTGGAATTCGTGAATCGAATCGAACTCACACCTCTCGCGAGCAGAAAATTGAAATGAAATTGTAGGGGATGAAAAGATCTTCGAAAATATATCTGCGAAACTATAATGGTAGCGGGCAAAAATTTTACTTTCATCTATTGTTTCGATGCCCTGCGATGTAGCGAACAAGACCAATCGAGTTCGACCGCTCCTTTTTTTGGAATACACCCGGTATGCACAAAAGAAGAAGGGTTTTGGCGCCAGTACCAAGAATTGAGGAAGGCCGTATAAACTCGTATACCATTTGAGGCACGATTGCGTTATCGCGCCTTATGGATGCACCAGGCTTGAAAAGTCGCGGTGAATGCTACACGTCCTCTTTCCCTTGCCTCCTATCCACGAAAATAGATTCACGGTTCTCAACATTGCACGCTGCACTTCATATCGCGAGCTACCGCGAACTCCAGTTCCCTCTTCGTGTCGTTCTTTCTCCCTCTGTTCTCCGGAACTGCGTCTTCTATTTATAACGGGGGGCTCTGTTTAGGATTCCTGGGATTGATCTTACGGTCATTAGCATCTTTGGTCCACGTTGCTGGACGAAGGCGTCCGGTACAGCGACTCTTATCAAACGGAAGTCGCGTTGGCTACCATAGGAGATATTGGCGTTAATTTTTTTGGTGACCTATCTTCTACGTATCGTGAATTAAAAATAATAGTATTGGATTACTCTAGTCCAGGAAAGTGTTTACCGAGTATCTGTCGTTAGATCCATGTACTGCTTTTATCCACTAGTATTTCAACAACAAATTCACGCTGTACCAATTGCACCGACGCTTTAGTCCAGGATTCTTAAGGAACGCGTCCGAGAAGCGAGCTAAGATGCACAGTGGCGCTTCCCTTCCAGCAGCTCATTTGCATCCCCCGCGGAATTATTCCGTCGGCGCTGGTTCCTGATCTCTCCCGATTCAGTTTCGCGGTGGAGTTCGTTTTAACTTGCAAAATTGCATCCCCCGCGCGAAATGGAGCGAGAGAGAAAGAGAGAGAGAGAGAGAGGTCCGAAGAAGAGAGCAGCTTGCACTTCGCGGAGTCTTGCTATTATAAGTTCCTGTACGACGACGAGACACCAGCCTCGAGAGTTTTAATTGCGTTAGAGGCGAACCATTATCCCGTAGTTTCAGCGATTAATCTCGAAATCTGCTTTCTATGGTCCTCGACCTTCCCTGGGACCCGATGTGCCCCGAGGCACCACAGACTGACGCGAATAGGCGGGGCAAAACAAACATGGCACTGTGCTGTGATAGTTTACCGTCCCCTGAGTATTCGACGCGGACAATCCATCGACAAATATTGTAATAAATATAGTTACTCGGGGTATACCATGGTATTTAGAACGAACTTCAGTGTTGGAATGGTTAAGTCTAATCCACATTCAACCTTTTAATGTAGTAAAGTAAAGCTCTGTTGACGTAGCTTAAATGGAGACGAATTTATGAGCTTTCAATTGTAGCCACGTTGCCCCCAAGTGCATCTTTCGACCGTCGAACGGTAGAAAATACTTTTACTTTTTTGCTCCGGCCTCGAGCAACGATTCCTGGCTCTCTGTGGTCCAGTCTTCATCAACGATCGCGCAATTTCACGTGAAACGTCCACGGTGACGCGGTGCGCGAAAAGAAAAAATTGAATAAAAAGAGAAACGAGAGGGTTCTCGCTGTCAGAGCGTTCCCCGGCGTCGATTCTCATCCCAAAGCGATTTAACTTCGACGAAATTGTATTAGGACACGGTTGAATCGAATCCCATTCTGACCAAGTCCCGTGGACGTTGCAGACGCGGTACAAATTAAGAGGGCTCGCTTCGACGGACGTGTTCCCTCTTCCCTCCCAGTCCCTGGCTCTCGTTCAAACGGGCTTCGCGAAGATCGATACGAGCAAGAAAAGGGTTCCACGTGGACAGAAACGATTTCGCGCGACGTTTCTGGGCTCGTTTTCGTCGCTGCCTCTCTTCTCGGGCTATTGTCTCGTAGGCGTGAAGCGTTTCGCGTCGACGAGCACGCTTTTCGGCCGATCCCTGCTCAAAGGCAGCCTCCAAGGAAACTACTCTCTCTTTCGCTCTCTCTTCGCTCTCCAATGGTTTCCGTGCACCCCCCTGACGTTCAACGGAAGTTCGTGCCCGACTTTACAGTGGCTGGGTAGCGACGTCGGGGTTTGGGGTGCCATTGTCAGTGATTTTGTAATTAAAGTACAGATTAAATACTATAGACACCTGATTCTCTTCTTATTATTTTCTATAGAAATCCGCATGGTGGAAAACTGGCATGAAAGGATGGATAGGTTTTTACACATAATTTAGCCAATAGATACAGTCGGTCCTATAAGTATTCATGTATAATAGAGCCAAGGTATGTATAAAAGTAGTACCACATAAAAAGAGAATCTGGTGTTTATGTATTCAATGGTTGGAATGTGACATATATTTCTGTTGGATATTCACGTTTACTTTGCATTTCATGTTGCCGAATTAACGCTTTGACTGCCACGGGTGACACGATCTTTAAACATACGAGTCTGTCGATCAATTATTCAAGACTTATACGTTTCATATTAAAAGGACAAACATTGAGAATTCCTAGATATGGAAAATTGACAGTCAACGTGTTAAACGAAATGAGAAACGAATCGTCATCTCATGTTGTATGTGTACGATAGTGGTGTTTGGTCTCCAAGATGGTCGCCTCCTTTCATGGCAGAATTAACATACATTGCGCGGTATTTACAGAGTCTAGACAGTATCAGGACGAATGGAAGCGTTCCCGAACCATTTTCCAATAAATATTTATTTTCCAATTCTTACAAACGCAACGTTGCATTACTCTAACGCCGACAGTAATCCTACGTTCCGTGGTTCACGCGATCGAAAAGACTTTTAAATTCCCATTTCCATCCTGACGGAGGAGGGCTCGAAACGAACTTTCCTGCTGCCTCCTTCGGAACCACGGAATTTTTTCATCGCACAGCGGAGGCTCTTCGGTTATCGACTACTTTCGATTCTGAACGATTTTTATGAGATTCCTTGGCTTACTGATTTTCTATAATATACATGATACACGCATTCCTCGCTCGTCGTGAACGAATCGTCGTCGATCGTTTAACGATAAAGCCATACTACGTTTGCATCTTTGTCCACAAGGCCGAGTCACAATATACACGAGACACAACTGTCTGGGTCGTTTACATGAATCTAAACGCGAGACTGGACGAGCGTTCAACACGCGACTGTTAACCTACGAAACGCTATTTATATTCGTAGAATATCGAGATTCTTGCATCACTCTGTCGCGGAAGGGCTGATGGATTGCACAGGGCGTAAAAAAACCTGGTGTAAAATTCACTTTTATCTTAAAATTCAACACTCAAAGATCAACACCCGACAGCCACCTCCTGCCTCCAGGTGACCTCACACGAAGATCGGTATGGACCGATCAGCATCCTTATTCTAAAGGTTCCACTCTAACCGAACACCCTTTCAGAGGGTACCTAGCCTATCAATTGCAAATTACAAACGCAACCTGGAAACCGTAACCCTCGGGATCCTCGACGATCACGATGACGCCCGTCGTCACGTGTCGAACGGTCGCGCAGCCTCGGTACTCACAATTTGCGCTACACCTAAACACACACGGACTCGTCTAAACGTTTACACCATACACATAAAACCGATCACGGAATCCTCTCGACACGGGTATACAAGAAAAGAAAAGTTACGGTGTTCTCGATGGAATGAAGAAGTCTCGCCCAACGAAACGCTGGCGAACGGCGCTAATTGGATACGCGAAAAGTGACGAGGGATGAAAAGGTGGAAAGGGAAAGGGTTGGGAGTGGAGTGAAACTGAAACGATACAAGCGCATGCCATGCGATATAATCTAACATCTAAGAAGAACCCAGGCAAGTGAGCGAAACGAGACGGATCGAAGTTCGACGAACCCGTCGCATTCGTTGGGACGATTGGCTCTCTGGGTTGGTCGATCGATTCGACGTTGACAAGTACGGGTTGCGTGATTTTGCTTCGTGTTATTATCTCACACGACGGAGTCGTCCGGAAACTTCGAGCCGTCGCGACGCCGGGAGCACCTATCGTCGGGTTTTCACGTCCCTAACGAAAATCAGCAACACTCGCGACGGATACCGATAATACTAATGGTAATGACGGTACGATGTACAATAGGTGATCAGTGTTCGATTCGAGATATAATATTAGTGACGCTAATGATGATGATAATAATAATGATAATAATAATAATAATAACAATAATAATAATAATAGTAATAATAATAATAATAATAATAATAATAATAATAATAATAATAATAACAATAATAATTATAGTAGACGGTAGCAGCAATGTACAGCAGGGACGGACATGTTCGAATCGTTTTTGTTATTGAGGAATGCTGGAGATATTGAATGTATATATCCAATGTTTATAACACGTACCTGGTATATTGTACTCTGTAGGAATCAAATATATATTCATGTGTATGTGGTATGAGTGTTGCGTTTGTTCTTCGTGTTTTGTATAATAGAAACTTATATGAGTATTATTCGTCAATTTTTTTGTAAGTCTTTCCGTAAGCAAATTTTGTGCGTACAAGTAAACGAACAACCAAACTTCCAGAAGTACAACCAAAGTATCCACGAAGGTTGTATAAATCTATAAATCGCTTACAAATAACGAACTATGTAAAGGTTTCGTAAAAAGTGTACAAAGTTTATAAATTTATAGAAAAAGTATTTTATCGTTCAGGTTGCTTCGAATCGTTCGACAGAGTACAAATTAGCGAGGTACACGTCGAATACTTTTCGCGATACAAAACACCGCCCATCCCTGTCGTGTACGCCGTAATAATATAATAATCGTAGCAGTAACGGTAAAAGTAATCGTAACGCTAACACTAATAATAGTAATAATAATAGTAATCGTAATCATAACACACATCATGCGCACTAAAACACGTATGGTCCAAGAGCTAATCAAGCAGGACTAACCGATGACTCAGTAATAAAACTTTAACCCCAAATAACGAAAGTTGCAAAAAAAAAAAAAAAAAAAAAAAAAATTTTTTTTTTTAAAAAAAAAAAAAAAAAAAAAAAAACAAAAAAAAATATAACACAACGCACAAAAAGTAGACAAGAAGAGAGAAAAAAAATCGTATGCGATCGGCCGAAGTGAACCCAAAAAAAAAAATAAAAGAATTAATAATACTAAACACTAATTGATGCGCAATCTATAATATGGTTAAATCGGCGTGCTCCCCCGTTCGTGCAGATATCGCTCTCTCCGAGATCCTCTCGCTACCCTCGGGGATCGTGTCACGTGGAATCTTATCCTCGCGAGCAAACAGCGGGTTTCGCGTTGAACACGAGAAGCGTTGATTTAAGTATCTGCGGTTCTTTGGCTCTAAACGCGTCGCGGATGTCGAGACGTGTCCGCGAACGTCGACTCGCGCCCGAAAGAAAACGAGAATCGATTGCGGACCCGCGGGCAGGGCACCCTGCACGGGCCTCAGGGCTGTCCAAGCTCGGACGAAAACGGATTTTCTCGCGGAATGGGAAAATTCGAGGTGTGTCGGATTCAAAACGATGATTCTTAACCTTTCGAGACTCGCGTGGACAATTTAGAAGGAGAATCTGGGTTCGCTGCACGAGTTACACCCAACATAATTGGACATTTCTCTTTCAAAATTGTGCATCTTTTATCAAATAGAATCTAATCTGATCTATCGACGAACGCCGTGATCTCAGTGGTTAAGAATCACTGTTTTAAGGGGTTACGATGGGATGATCGGCTGAAAAATTAGCTAGATTTTGGAAATTGTATTTGCAGATGGGTATGCAATTTTATGAAATGTTCGTCTACTACCTTGAACTGTTATATATACTATATTATAATATTGCTTCTCGACCAGTCCAGGCAAAAGTGAACTCCACGGTACTCCACACAATTGCCTACAACTTTTGAACGAATCAAAATTTTCTATCAAAATTTCGTAGGTTTGCAGTTTACTATGTTCGCTTCTTGTTAATAGGTAGACATTCCATAAAATTCCAACCTCGACTTCAAACATAATTTCTAAAAGGTACCATATTTTCCAACCCCTCGTTTCCGATCTCCTCTGGATGCGCGCGGTGTGTTCTCCATCGTCACGAGATCGGACCGCGTGAAAATTTCCCTCCAAAAATATTTGTACTTCCGCCACAGTGGCGCGAGGTCGGGAAATTCCCTCGGAATTAATACAGAAGTCTCCGAACCTCGTCTCTTGCACCCTCCCTCGAGAACAGAAATTGTACGCGCGTTCCACCCTCATCGTCGTCGATAGGTCGACGACGCACTCTCCGCGTTTCTAGCACTACGCATTTGGCAAATTCAAGGCAGTAAGTATTAGGCCCGCGAAGCCTCTCACTGTACGCTAAAATGGATCATTGGCTGTCGAGGAGAACGCCTCCGAGGCGATCGCCCGCCTCAAACGATACTCTATCCACGCCTGGGCTAATTTTATTTCAGATAGAAACGGGAAATAACTACCAAAAATAATATTTTAATCGATTTATTGGAATTGGATGTTCAGAGACCTCGCAGAGATGAAGCTCTGGAAGTTATGAGAGTCGAGACGCTATCGTACGTGGCGCTAGCGTCGCGTCCCTTGTAACTTCCAGAGTTTTTCCTCCCGAAATACTGATATATTCTACAGACCGGACTTGGCCACTTCTGATCCAACTACACAGACAGAACCACTTGAACCGAGTCCACTCCTCGGAGGAATTCCCCTCCCCCACCAATGATAATCGTACAACAACGAACTCCTCGAATGGAAGCACATTATCATACAAAAAGGGAAGAACAGCATCGCCATCGAGCCGCGCGTCAACGAAAACGGAGGCTCGTTCGCGACGATCCGAATCGCCGTCGTCCGTTTTTCTCGCGATCGAATACGCGACGAATCGACGATGTTAAATATAATTCTGGTACTGGTGTTCGAACGTTGTTCCTTTCACGCTCGCTCGTCTTTTCCTGCGAAGACGTTGTCGACCTGATCGACTCGACCATCCGCGGTCAGATCAACTCTGAACACGCGCGAATCATCGAAAGAACCAGCAAGTGCTTGTTCTTGGCGTGAATACGAGAACAAACGTAAGAAAGAAAAAAAAAAAGAAAAATAAAGAAAACGTACCAGTACGTTTGCTAACGGTGAGCAGTTTTCAACAAGGTACCATTTATATAAATACACATCTCGCTCCGGGTTTTCGTCTCACTTCTCTTTCTCACTAGTTTTACACGAACCCACTTATCCTCTAAACGAGAGAGAAAAAAAAAAGCGTTCTCTTCACCTCAGGAATGTTGTGCACCGGTCTAGAAGCGAGCACCCCCTCGCTTCACAATCGTGAACCGCGCGGTGTACGATTGTTCGCCGATTTCTTTATTTTCACGCGACGCGCGATCTGGACGATAACGCGTCGTAATCAGGCAAAAAACTCGATGTACACGGAGAAAACTTATACACACGAGAAGTGTTCGTTTCTTTTTTTTTTTTTTTTTTTTTATCGTCCATCGTGCTCGTGTGTGTCTCTGGTGTACTCCCCCGGAAACGTATGATTCGCATAATACCACTTCTAACGTGTACATTTAAACGGAAAGATAAGAGGCGCGAACAGTTCGTTCATGTGTTTTCTCGTTTCTTTCTTTCTTTCTTTTTTTTGCTTTTTCTGTTTTAAATGGCTAGGGATAGAATCGTTATTGCTGTAGCAATGGCGGTCACGGCGAGCTTGGGAGTACCTCCAGCGGAAGTAATTATATTGTAGTCCAGATTGAGGCCCGTAGATTCTGAATGATAAAAAGTGACTTGTAGAAAGGATCGTTTTATGTGTCACGAACATGGTTGAAAGGGGGAGAGGTATCTAATGCCTAATTGATATGCCCATCGAGTGGCTAACGGGACAGTTCGTCTAAATCGCTTTTGTCTACAAGGGTCAAGGGGACTGAGGAATCTCTGGTTACCAAGGACGGCTAAGGCTGGGTCGTTTCGTTAGAAATTTTTTACTAAATGATTCGAAATGAATGATTTCTTCAATGAATTTATACAATATCGGAGATGGTATCTATAGACTCAATTCTCCCATGGAAATTTTTCTACTTTTGTGTACTAGATACGAAAAAAAAGTAAAACACGTAGAATCGTTTCTTCTTCTAGTGTACCACTATGAAACACCTTCTAGTGTATTTAGTATAACTGCTAACTTGTTCTCACTCGACGTAATTATTATCTGAAGTTCGGGTCCTGAAAGACCCAGCCTTAGATTCATCGACAAATCGACAACGCAACCGAACACATCGGAATACCTCAATGACCCTTTTCCCTCCTCCTTGAGTGAACAAAACAGAGGCGAAGTAATTAAACGGTCTCTCTCATCAAGTAAAAAAAAAAAAAAAAATAAAAAAAATATATAAATACGTATTTAAAAAAAAAAACAGAATGTCAATCGGTGCAATAGCCTCGTGCACATATATATATAATATATATGATTTGAAAGAGAATTACGATACGATTTGAAAAAGGGCACTAATATCGACACCGAATATGTCGCTGAAGATGAGAGGAAAAATAAAACGAATTACGGCAAATGAAACACCGGAAGGCACGTTTCCACGTGCTAAGGTGAATGCGTTTAAGGACACTTACCTCTTGCAGTCTTAAACTTCGCTGATCCGGGTTTGCTGTAACCCATCGCGTTGTGCGCCCTCAGTTCCACTTTGTAGTACGTGTCCGGGTTCAGGTGTTTCAAATAGTGCCTCGTCCTTCCCTGCGTCTTCAGCTTCTCCGTTTGACAGGTGTTCTCCAGCAACTCCCAATCGTCAGACACGTACTTTATTTGACAATACTTGATCTCATACATGTCGATCGGCTCGCCGTTGTCGGCTGGCACCAGCCACGACAACTGGTATTGGTCGTTGAACTTGGATACCTCGTACTCCCCGGTGCTCGACCTTATTATCTTCGGCTCGTTGGGGAACGTCTTGCCCGGTGTCATCTCGCGCAGTTGCGCTCCCCAGTTGCCCAAACCCACCTCGTTCCTCGCCGCGAAACGGAACTCGTACTGGGTCTGCGGCTCGAGGCCCTCGATCACGTACAGGGAATCTAAAAGGTGGATTCGATCTTTAATCTCTTCCCTGGAAAGCCAAGAAGACGAACACGATCGAGAAACGGGGAGTTAAATTGACACGTTGGTTGCCAGATGAAAACCAGTAGAAAATTTCTATCGAGTTAAAATTTTGTCTCGAGAACGTCGAAGATTAGATAGTTTAACATTTGAATCGTTCACTGCACAAAAACGGTTACCTCCGCTTTTTGAAAAATCTCAAAAATTTGAGTGTCAAAGCATTTTGTATAGTCGTAACTTTTTATATTTATAAATAACTTTCCAAAAAAGGAAAAAACTTTTTTCAATATTTATTTGAATTTATATTATAAAGGGAATTTTAGGAAACGATGTACATTATTTTATCGCACTTCTCAACTTGAAAACTGTTTAGCCAAATATTCCGTTACTTGAGAATTGTATTAACCCTTCGTGAGTTAAGTATCGATTCAACACGTACCAACGGACCATGTTTTGTTCCTAGCCTCCGTCCAAGTCTGCAAGCCCTCCTTGTACTGGACAGTGATCGTTCGCACGGGTAGTTCGGGGTGCGTGGATGGTGGCATCAGATCAAACCTGATGGTAGTGGCGGTGATCTCGACCATTCTCGCCTGCATCACTTCGCCAGGCCTGGTGGCCTCCCTGAGCTCGATGCCATGCTCCTTGGTGCCGTGAGGATTCGAGGCGATACATTTGTAGGTGGTGTAGTACCGTCTATCCAGAGGCACGATCATCAGAGTGGAGATCGGTCCCTGACCCAGCTGCGTGATCATCGTGTCGTCGTTGACCGGATGATCGCCGTGCATCGTCCAGCGAATGGTTGCGTTGGGTATGCTCTCGGCAGTGCAGCTGATGTTCACTTGCCTCTGCTCCCAGGACCAGACGGTCATGTTTGACATGGAAGCGAACGAAGGTGGGAACTCGACCGTCAGATGACCGTTTCTGCGCGCCTCGCCGCCGGTATTCTCGGCGATGCACTCGTACAAACCATCGTTTGATCTCAGAGTCTCCTGAATCGTCAGCATTCCCACGGTCTCCCCGGTCATGTCGTCGGCGACGTTGGTCACAGTTATCCTGTCGTCGTCGGGTTGCAACCCCATCGCGTAGGGCTTGTCGGAGGTGTGCTTCCTGAACATCACCTGGGGCGGTGGTCGACCGAAAGCTTTGCAAACGATGGACGCCTCCTTGCCCTGCACTATGGTGGTGTTTAAAAACTCCATGATCTTGGGTTTCACTATCACGTTCACCCTTATGTTCGTTTTCGCCGTCCCGGCGTGGTTGGTCGCCATGCACTCGTACTCGCCGGCATCGTCGCGATTCACGTTCGTGATCGTCAACACCCCCGTATCCGCGTCCACCCCGAAGCGATCCGCGTTGGATAGATTCTGCTGCGTCAGGGATTTCACCCAGGTGAACTTTGGCGGCGGTTTGCCGTGGGCTTTGCACTGTATATTCGCGTCTTCCCCTTCGATTATGTTCACGGGACTGGAGAGCTCTTCGATCGTTGGTCTCACGAGGACCTGTTAAATGAAATGCAAACCCTGTTTCTGACGCCTGTGGTGATTCGGGACGGGGAGGATTTCGGTGTAATTGGTACACACATTTGCGGTCGAACCTGTGGAGAGTCTGTGTTAATCGTGGAGATGGAACGGGTGTGCCTCGCGGTGTTGCGATTATTTTGTTTATGTACATTGTTTTCATCTATTTTGTCAAGTCTGGTTGCGCTCGGTGAGTAATCTAATTCGCGATAGTTTGGACGGTTTGGAAATTATCGGTTTAAAATTTATAGTCTTCGGTGGTCGTATTTGCGGGGGGTTGTATATAAATCTGTAGCTGAGCTCGTGTGTTAATCGTGGGCATGGAACAGGTGTGTTTGAGGTGTTTCGATTATTTTGTTTATGCTCAGGAATACATTGCTTTCATTAATGTAATTTATGATCGGTTAGCATTTGAAGTGATTCTGTTGAAATTCATACGTTTTGATTATTGAATAGTTTTCACGAATATTTCTGATACGATTAAACATTTAAGAATTATTTTTATTTTTTTTTTTCTTGTACTCAAGTAATTTACTTTTTAGGGTTAAACTAATGGTGTAGATTTTGAGGAAAACTGGCCTTTCTTCGCGTGCACAAATAAGGACATTTGCCTTAAATGATAGTGTCGGTAGTGTATGAGTCTTACGCCAGGTCTGAAAGTGTTAAAACTTCAGAAGAAACGCGGAGGAATACTTTTAATTGCAGCTGAAAGCACCAATTAAAGTTTAAAGCGTTCCATGAACCAGTATTAATTAACATTGTAAACGGTTAAAAACTTTGAGTTTTCTGCTAACGATCGCTTATCAAACGGGAGATACTGTTTCAACTTTTTAATTTATAAATACCGCCGCAATTATTCGCAGTATGTAACGCGGAATAGTATGTCGAGTACAAACCTCGACTCGAATGGGTCGTTCTTTGAGTTCTCCAGTAACCAGTACGGAGGCCCGACAAGTGTAGATGCCGTCGTCAGATTCTTGGACGTTCTTGATCTTCAACGCATACGTGTCAATAATGTAGTGGTCGTTCGTCTTAATTAATTCACCGTTGTACAGCCAGTCAACGGAGGGCGAAGGCCTTGCATGCACTTTGCATTGGATAGAGGAGTCTTGTCCCAGAATAGGGTATTGATTGAGTGGTGCGTTGTCCCATGTGATCGCAACTACAAAACAGAAATTATTCTTCGTACTTCTGCCTTATTCTCCTCTTTTCTGCACACAGTATATCGTTATTGGACTATTTTATTTGAATTCCTCATGTTTCGATAACGAAGTCACGGATTAGAAAATAAAGAAAGATATTTTCATTCGTATCGCCACGAATTGATCCCGAGTATTGCTAACAAAATATAATCTCTACTGTAATGCGATTTTAGGCTTACCTATGGTGTCGATCGTCACAGACTTGTTCAGAAATACCGAATTAGCGTAAGTGGCCTTGCACGTGTACTTCCCAGCTTGCTCCTCTTGCAGAGAGTTGAAGAACAGAGCCAATTTGTTATCCTGGTGCAATTCCGTGTACATGGATGGCTTCGAATGGCCCGTAAACGTGCTACAGGGAATAATTTAACGATTATTGCGATGTCCGGCCTATCTGCGTTACACCAAATATATTTACATACTATGACGATGAGTTCCGAATGTTCGGGCGGTGTGTTGGGAATTGTGCAAGCATCGACTCAGTGCTTCGCGAGCAAGCTACTTTTCAAAATGTACACTGTACTTCGCGTTAAATAGTATTCGAATTTTGGATACTGAACGGGAAACATCGAGTCGTTATCGGTGAAATGTCGTTGCGAAATCGGGGTGAGGGTGAATACGGTGTCGCATCAAATATGGATCGATAGCACGCGGAATAAATCGATGGATCTTAATTCGATGTAAGATGGATCGGACAGAACCTTTGGCGTGGTTCCACGTGGGTCGCAAGTAGAGATGGGCGAGAGTTCGAAGTATTGAAGCCTGGTTCAAGAGTGATCAAGACTTTCAAAACTGAACAATCTTGGTCAAGACTGACAAAGACGGATCATGACTTTCAAAAATTCAAACAAAGATTGACTAAGACTTTCAAGACTTTCAAAGCTGAACAATCTCTGTCAAGACTGATCAATATTTTTCAAGACTGAGCAACATCTTCCAAGGTTGACCGATATCTTACAAGCCCAGCCAAGCCTTTCGAAGGTATTCCGGTATCAAGTTACTCCGACACGTCACCGATTCGAAGCAATTAGATCCCGCCTCGAGCCCACCACTAATCGCAACCCACCGGAGCCCGCAATTTCGCGAGTTTGGAATTGGCACGGACGGAGGGTACACATTCACATGAATCCACACAATTTAACAAGGTTGCATGACAGTGCACGAGACAGAGATAAGGTCCAGGTGGATGCTGAATCGCGGCACGCAATGAATCGTTTTGCGACCGATGCGAATTCGAACGGTTACGTCAGCAGCGGGCACTGTTTAATGAACCCCTTCCTGCTTGGAAATCGAGACTGGTGATTCGGTAGAGAAAAAGGGACCAGCCGCGGTTTAATCATAGGTTTAATCAATTCAGAAATGATTACTCGTCGGCGCAATAGAATGAAACTGCTCGCGCGGTCGTAGGCAAAGTTAGTGTACGTCGTTCACTTCTATTTGGTACACCGTGCTTAGGCTCGGAGTTCGCCAACCCCGTTAAATTTAACGGGACGAGCTATCGTTACCCTATTTCATCTAATTTGCATAATTTTCTGTATCTCAGGAGCCAGTGACGACATCCGCCTGGAACTTGGACCATATATTTCGAATTACTTGGGCGACGATTTAACCGCGATGAGAATATATAGGCGAATCGAATCCGTGTCTCGTTAAACTTGCGTGCCACTGCCATTTTTTACGTCAATTTTGGAACTAATATACTGGACGTGATCGGTAGTTCGATATTCGATAAGATATTTACAAAGTACTGCCAATGTAGAGAGATTTGATTGCGCTCTTTCGGAAAGCGTATATCTAGTGTTTTTTAGTTTCTGTATTGACCGTCGCACAATATTTTAACGCAGACAAATAACATAAAAATCAAATTTCAAGACGTCCAAGATATCCATGAGAAAAAAGATTATTCCATAAATATATCAGAGAAACGAGCATTCCGTGACCGAAGTAGTTTGAACCCGCTACTTTGGCAGAACGACAATTTCTCCTGGCCTAGGTGTTCGGCTGCAGTAGTATCAGCCAGTCAGGGTCAGCCCGCATCGCTCGATCGCGAAACACCATGGCTTTTCGCGATCGTGGACGAGGGCACCTGAATCTTCGACGATAGAAAATTGAGGAGGGGATTGGCACCGCTATTATCACGGAGTAACGAACGGGAGGGTTGAAACGATTCTCAAGAGCTGATGCAACGAAGACGATAACAGTGTTAGTCCGGCGATTATGCAATTCCCTTTCTTCTTCGCTCTCCATGGGAACACTCTCTAAGTACAATTAATGAAACGGTTCTCTCTCTCTCTCTCTCTCTCTCTCTCTCTCTCTCTCTCTCTCTCTCGCTCTCTCTCACTCACTCACTCACTCACTCACTCACTCTCTTTCTCTCTAGACTGGTACACGCGGTTCGTCGTTGAATTTATCGGCCATTACTCCCCGCGACGAGCGGACATAATTATGCAAATCGCTCGCGGTGCCCGCTTATAATCGGGCAAACACGCGATCCGACGAATCAGCTACCGAGGTTAACGCTCGTTAGATTGTTTGATCGCGCTGTTTAAATATTTGCAAGACGGACGCGACGATACATTATTTATTAACTGTGCCTGGATCCTCATCGCTCAGACTAACACGGGGACGTTGAAGGCGCTGACACTCTCCTGCGGATTAATGATGATGGCTGATGGCTCGCTCGTCCGAAGGGGGGCCCCGAACGACGCGTCACGCACACATTTGAATAATTATCACAGGGGATAAGTGAACTTGATCGACTTTTAAGAAGCTATTTGTGATATGTTTTGACTGACCAGCTCCTATTTATAGAAGTTGATCTACAGTTGAGTTACGTTGAATTAAAAAATTCTTTAGTTAAATTTATAGAAAGATTCTGCAGACTGAATTTCTTAATTTATCCGCCCTATTTTGTCGATAATTAGTTTAATATTCGCCCTTAACTTTTTTTTTTTTTGAACCTTCTTTCGTTCGAACCCACGGATGGAAAAACTTGAATTCTCGAAGCCACTGGAGCGGTTCGAGGCGGTGCGTAACGCTTCGCGTGGCGCCCTGGTGAGGATACGAAAATATCTACGCTGTAATGGAGCCACTTAATTGTTCAGGGGCACTCCGTTGCGTCATTGAACGGGCACTTTCATAACGCGTCCGAGCATCCTTTAATGTCTATTTTAGCCAGGCATCATCCTCCCTCGGCTTTTCTTGCCTGAACGCCATGGTACACACGGCGGCGTTTAACGTTCAAATACAACGCGAAGTCAGTTTACCCGTCGTTGGAAGGCGGAAAACTTTCCCCGAACAGCTTAATGAGCAACGCTTAGTTCGCAGAACAATCGGGCGGGCCTGCAGCAATTAAGAGCTCCTGTACAGGCTGTAGTAGACGTAAATCAGCCACGGGGTGGTGGGGTTTGGTTTCGGTGATAGTGATGGTGAGCTTGCAATGGCGGTAGCAGAGTGTGGGGGAGGGGTATGGGTGAAGAAAAACAGTAGTCTAAGTTGGGATGGAAACTAAAGTAACTAAGGGGGCCATCGCAAGACAGAGGGCTTGAATGACGACACTAAGGTTGCGTGTAAAGTCTTGAATTACAGTTTTTATATACTCGCCTTGCGATCGGTAAGACGACGAGTCTGTGTGCAAAACAAGTGACAGAAATTTGTTCAATTAGTGCTTTGTGGTGTTGGCCGTGTCCTACTCGTGTGTTACGCAAAAGAATCGCTCGCTTCTACGTATTACTAGGGTGTCGTTTGGAGTTAATCGCCAAACCGTGCCGATGTGCCCCAAAACGGAAGCGAAAAAACATTCGTTAGACAATCGTGGATAATAGAGAATATTGGTAAACTAATTTATCGTTTTATAATGAATGAGTTTACAGAACAGAAATAATTAAAGAAAATTTAGTAGTATTTTGGGTGGTAAGAAATAATGCATAGTTGTATAATAATATTCAGTGAATTTTCGTTCAAGTTCATGTAACAAATTCCTTTCACTTCCATCGATAGATCAAACTCGCACTGTTTGGTTGTTAAGCTCTACGACACTCGACACATTTTGCTTTGCTTTTAATTATCAGCTAAAAGCGGCTCTGTTATTGTTTTAAAAAACAAAACAAAAAATTGGAAGCTCGAAAGCGCGGAGCATCCCTTGCACATATATTCTCGTCTGGCCTGGCAAACGTTTGTTTGCGCTGCAGCGATATTTTTGCCGTTTCCCGCTGGCAGCGATCGCTTGAATTATGACTTTCGAGTCTACCGTATATTCCTGCGAACCTGAAGAATTTAAGACAATCGCCAGATTTTCAAACGCGAAGTTACAACATTTTTTTGCGACGGTTTGTATGCCGTTAGAATTATAAATCTAATTATATGATTCAACTCTAAAATATCATATTAATGTGCGATATATAATAAAAACATTTATGTGCAACAATACTTGAGCGTCTTATCCGATGATAGATCAAACTGAAATGACCAGAGCGACCGTAAAACAAAATTACCGTACAGAATGTGTAACAAAGTGGACCTCTCCGAGCTATTTAGAAAACTTTCTCGCTGAGTTATCGACAGACCAGTAAGACGATTACATTTCAAATAAACCAAGTTGCGTTTCAGACCTCCGATAAAAAATAGAACTTCGTCTCGACGAATCGATCCACTCGACTGAAAAAATAAAATTACCGGTCGCGCTTCTCGATTACTAAGATTTCTCCCAATCGAGTTCTAGGTACAAGAAAACCTCGTTCGAGATGGACAAAATTGTTACCTAGTTAGAGGACAATAAAAATAAAAACTAGGGAAGAGAAATTAGAAATTAGTATTTAAATTACAGAACGAAATGTAAATGTCTTCGCTTCGATAAGTTCCTTTTGATATTAATTCAGCAAACTCTACGAGACAAATGGAATAATTAAATAAAATTTGGTCCATCTCTGGAACGGATGTTCGAGGATCGATCGAGTTAAACCCACCAAACGAGAGTACACCTTGGGCAAGGGGCCAAGAGTTTACCAAAGAACACAGGTCGGTTAACGATCGGCTCGTCGATCTACTCACTTGAGAGACTCGATCACACGATTCTGCGGATCGAGCCATTGCATGTCGCTGATGAGTTTCGTGTCGTCGACCTCCGGATTGCACGTCAGGATGATGCTGGAGCCGATTGGCTTCGTCTGCGTCTCCCCGCTCGGCATGATCGACAAGGAAGCTTCCTTCGCGTAAGCTGCAAGCAGAAGACGTGACCGCTTGTTACATTGACGCGAAACGGATCGTTAGGGATCTTGGATCGCGGCTGAAAGGGAGAGGAAGAAAAGGAACCCTAACGATTTCTTGCCGCGTTCGAGGCTGCGACGCTTTAATCAGCTAAGGAAGTAATTGCACGTAATTCCGTACACGGTGTCCGTAGACACCTCGAACACGTGCACGTATCTACTAACGACGCACCATATCCGGACCACCGATTATCGCCATGTCGTCCTCGGTGATTTCGATGCCTGCGTATCGAACGCGACAAGAGTTAATGCTCCTCGACAATTATCACAGATGGGGGCATTCATGTTATGTATGTTGACGCATGGAGACGTTTGAGTTGAGTCCCATGTTACAATTCTTATGTGAATAACACCTTTACATTCACACCTGTTTAGTTTACACCCCGTATACAACCCGTGCTCGCCGAAGTGGCTACGAGTCGACTCGTTGACAACCTCGCGAGGGCCCCGGAGTGCATACCGCGAAGGATTAAAGGTGGCAGAGCGATGCTCAAAGATGACTGTCGACGACTAACGTCTCGGTTACACAGGTAATAATATTCACCTTTTGCGATAAGAATCATTCAATTTTTTTATTTGTATTCTTGAAGGTAGTTGCTCATGAATGAATTCGTTAACACATCCTGAAGAAATATTAAAAAATCTTAAACGAATGCTTCCGAATCGACAAAATCAATATCTTTATACTCCTACCTACCATTTTACCTACAGAATCGAACCAATTTCCCAAGGAACATAGCCAATCAGTAAAAATGGAACTTCTCGAGAAATCCGCCTCGAGAACACAGAGATTCAACGGGCAGAGAAACGCTTGCAGCCCGTAATTGTGCGTGAAAGCGCGGCTTCGCGACGAAACGAGGCTCGTAGCTGCCCTTTAAACCGCGAGAAGCGTCGCTTTCCAGAGGATCCCGCGATCGTCGCCCGTGGGATCGTCCCCAACGAGCGCAGCTTTCACGTCGTAAGCTTCTTAGTTCTTACCCAAACGACCGGTGGCGCGGGGCGGCGGTGTCGCCCTGAGCACGTAGATGCACAGCACCGAAATGCAGATCGACGTCTCGGCGGCGCTCATCCTCGCGTCGCGGCGGATGCCACGAATGCTTTTACGGCGACATACGCGCGTCAACTATGACGCCGGAATGCGCCCTGTTATGCCGCCGTGACACGCAACGAGCACGAGCCGACCCGCCCCGGCCCATCGCGCACAACAGGAAGCCGAAATTAAGCTAATTAATCGTGACGAGCGAAAGTACGGAATTGGCCTAACTAGGAAACGTTACCGCGCGCTCGACACGCTTCCAGCTACGTTCGGAGCTGGGAGAATAACTACGCCACGGTTCTCGACGCTTGACGCGCCTGGAGCCAAAAACTGGAGCTCCAGTGATCTGTTATGAAAGTTAAATTGGACGAGCAAACAGTAGGTCGACTGCGATGGTGTTGCTGTTTGCGTATATTAAGGTTTGGAGAGTTGTGGTTCTGTTTGAAGGTGAACTAGAATCGCGTGGACGTCGTGCAAGAAGATGGATTCTTGGATGGACTGTTAAAGACAGAGCTGATAAGTTACGAATTACCACTTCGATAGTTACATAAGAACGAGAGTAACGAACATCGCATTTGCTAAGAGCGCCAGAGAAGCTGCCATGCCTGTGGCTGTAATGATTCTAGAGCAGCCCCGACCGAGTCCATAATGTGATATTTTGTTAACGTATTCGGAAACAATGCCTTGGCTTTTCGCATAAGCAGATTACGATGAGATGCTTACAGGCTTACGTATACTTAGGCGTTGGGAAGGCTGTGTCGCGCGTCCGATACGTAGGGAAGAGGACGCAAGCGGCTCGAATACAAAAACTTTCAAAGAGAAGTCTATTCGTTTTACCAAACCGAGAAAAAAATAAAAAATTGATATACACTTATAAAAATATTCCACGAAATCAGTCACACATTTACAAATCTCCTTTCACAGGATCCTCCCTTATCAATCGCCGAAGTAAACCGTCTCGGCAGAGACCAAACGCAGGTACCCAACGAAAATTGATGACGTTTTAAACGCTAACCACGTCAGACGCAGAATGCCCACCGGAAACTTTCTTAATAAGGAGATAACGGGACAACGATAACGACCATCGCGGAAAGTTCCCCTGTACGACCATTACCAAACGAGCATCTCTCGACATCCATGCAACCCCGGAACGTCTGCATCGTCTTTATTAGTCATCTTTGCACGGCATCCGGGATGACTATTGGAATATCTTTAATTCATCCCCGCCCCATCGTCATCCGTCCACCACCCCCTCGAGCGAACGAGGCGGAAATGATGAATTCGCGAGCCTTATCGCGTCGTTGGAGCGTTGTTTCCCGAGCGACTTCAACAAATAAGCTGTCTTGCAGGAAGACATTTCTTGGGGGTCGTAATCCCCCCGATTGCTGAACTTCTTATCGCGAAACGGGGAGAACTGCGGGACCGAAAATTGGACTTTCCGTTCGAGTCTCTCTTCCCCGCAGGCACGTCAGAAGACGTATTTCGAATTACGTGCCGTCTGGTGGCCTCGTTAAGTTTCTGGCTACGTCAGTTTTTCTCGTTAAACGTATCTTCGAGGAGTTGCCTGTCGCACCTGGGAACGGTTGACCGGGCATCCCTCGGTCATACTGATTCGAATCTTTTTGATAGTCTGAGTCGTCGGGTGTGTGTTAAAGGTGCGGTGCGAAGTGACCTGTGTAATGCTGAGTAAGAGGACAGCACTCTAAAAGGGGAACAGCGTTAGTAGTTTTTGGAATTTTATTAGAATTCTTTCATGATAGTTTTTAGTATCGAAAGAGGACTCTGAATAAGAAGACTGTGGCTTAAATAAACGATAACTACTTAAATAAACGAGGACAAAATGGTATTAGTCCAAACGAGGAAAAAGTACAATACGAAGCTCGACTGAATGGGGAAAACTACCTCGGCGGAAATTCACTTCATCCCTGCGTCGTTTACGTTCAAGTTGGATCTTTGATACTCCTGTAACGAGGCGGGATAGACTCCGCGTCCCGACGCATCCTGGATCAATTAAAGAAGTTTTCCAGACGCTCTTTCGTTGGCAACGCAACCCCCAGCGGCGTTTCCGCGCCCCTGCTCGAGCCGCGAACCGGAAACTACACAGGGTGGTCGTCGCTAGAAACAGGACACCTTATCTCCGGCACATTAAATAAGAAATGTTGCCACTAAACATTATATGCATCCACGATCCACTGTATCTCGCAAAAAGGGGTTGTTAACTACTGCATCAAGGGTGTCTCCGGTTTCTGGTGGACCACGGTGTACAGGCGTCGGCATGTCGACGAATTTTGTGCGCGGGGCAGCGCAGTAGCCGTGCACTGTTTGGCGTTTGCGCGTGGTCCGAGGCTGGTGTTGTTCCATTAAATTAATTGCCGCATTACAATTTCACTCTCGAGCGTGTTTCACCGCCGCGTAATGGCCGTCCGCTCGCGGAGAGCCACGCGGCGCGGTGTCCCACGACACCGACAGCGGTTAACGCCGCGAACTGTAAACCGAGAACGATATTTTTCATACAGTTTCATTCGACACAGTTTCAATTTTCGCGACAACAACCCGATTACGTCACCGCGCAACCTGCGTCACGCGACGGCTACACGGATGGACAAATGGACGGCGATTCTGGGCGCAACGTGCACGCCACGGGATGTTGCGAAACGCTCGAATCGAGTACTATTTATCAAACTGAACGGGAAGTCTTCGTAAACGTTGACGGAAAAGTCAGTTCGGTCAGATTTATGGCGCAGAGGGGGTGGCTGAATCGTCGGGAACTGTCGTGTAAAAAAAAAATTTTTATTTGCTGTAATGGAGGTATCGCGTAAGCGGTGGTATATGTTATTTACCGTGCGACGGGTGGCGAATATCGTATTATTTTTTGGTGTTCTATTTAATATTAGTGAGCGGAAAGTCGGGATTTCGAATTTATGGCAGTGGAGTAAAATAATTTTCTATTGGGTAAAGAGAGGGATATAAAATCTCAATTACACAAAGTCCGACTCATAAGTGTTCGTACCTTCAATATTTATTGAACAAACCACGCCCACACGATACTTAATTTCCATTCTATTCATATACAGGCCACGGTAATTAATGGCTCCCAGAAAACCGCCCTTCAGCGTCCAAGGGACCAGAAATACGCGTTCTCATCGCAGTATGATCACTGCGACGTTACGCCAGACTCGTTCAGCGGAAATCGTCGAAAAGGTCGATTCCGAGGGGGGGGGGGGGGAATCTCGAACGTATATTATAATCGTTTTACAAATTCGACCGAGTCACGGCCCAGTCTTCCAAGCCCCCATCGTATACAATGGTGAGCCGCACTCCACCCCCCAAAAATTCGCAAATTCATCGTTTCCGTGAGAGGCAGACGGCTCCTCGGGTTTATCCGACAACGAATCATTCCTCGCGAAGGTTTCCCGTGAAGAAATCCGGTAATTGGCCCCGGGGCTTCATCAGACTCGCCTTCGACTGGTCCCAGACGAGGGTAAGAAGATGGCTTTCGCGCATCGCCGTCAGAGAATCAGAGGGTAAGAGGGGTATGGAGAAAAAGGAATGGGGTGACAGGTGAGGGGAACAGAGAAAGGCCAGTTGGAGAAGCTGAGACGGAGAGAGACACCCTCCCAGGACATCTTATTTACGTTAGTTAGGGTTTGTTGGCACAGCCACCCGAGGGGCTATTCAATGGATCCACCCACTCCCTTCTCTATTCCCCGATGCATACGGATACATCCAAAGCTCTGTCTCACCACGGACTCTAGGAGACACTTTTACCTACGACAGGGGCTCCCAACCCGTCCTTGCTTTAGAGAAGTATTCGTTTCTCTATTTTTTAGAACTCTACAGGTTGCGGTGGGGAAATTCTTTCATTACTTTTAGAGGCTTCAATTTTTGCATCATTCCAATCTGACACCTCTTTCTCGCAGAATCCCAAAGATACTCTGTGATTTATCAACGGGCCAAGTGACCTGGGTTGAGAGTCACGTCTGTTGAGCCTATACGTTCGCCCGTGGACCTCCCCGCGAGTCAACCCTGTTACTTACACGCCACCCGTTGTACGTACGCGTCGCGGAGGGGGTGGAAACCGGGTAAACTCCGCGACATGTCACTCGAGCTGGAAGAATTCGATCTGGCAGGGTCGGGAAACAGAGGGTGCGAGTACGGATGGAAAAGAGGGTACGGGAGGGGAGAGGATTTGATCAAATTCCGATATCGAATTGGCCGGGTAAGGGTGAAAAACGAGAACCGCTCACGGGGGTTCACGAAATTTTCGGGATGTAGCTACTTGACAAACTTCCACTACCAGTTGGTAAACTTCGGTCGGGCCTCGCGCGATTGTTAGTTTTCATTCCAAGGGATGGCAGGGGAGAGTGGTGGGTGGCGTGATGGTGGAAATGGCGCTTGGGGTATTGCGGAAAGTTCGCGAGAGAAACTCGAGACCTGGGAAACGCGCTGAAACACGAGACCCTTGAAATACAAAATTATCAAGGTTTATTACCAGCTGGCTTCGACGACGTTTATTCCGCAAAAATTTGTCGCTACGGAACATGGCCGCCGCGTGCGATATCGGGGTTAAAATATTTCGAACCATTCTGATATGCTTGTTTCGACATTTCGATGGATATATTGATTTTGAATGGGTGCATGCCAATCTGAAGTTAATTGAAGCGAATTAAAATAGGAGTGACGTAGAGAAAAATGGCACGTGCAAGATAATACTTGACCTAAAGGATTTAAAAATATTAAATATAGGTACGGGAGAGGTAAAATCAATTTGTGTGGAAGTGCAAGTAAATAAAATATGTAAGAATTAATATGAATGAGCGAAATATAGCACGAATATTAAATATACACCTTTTCGCGTTGTCAATTCTTTTTAAGCCAGGTTTAAGTGAGGTTTATCGCAGACCAATTTTCACCACGACCGTGCACACCGAGATGTACGACAAATTTAATAGTCTTTGTAATGAAAACTGACGCGTGTCGAGTGACTCAAGTTAACTTTAATAGGAGCATTATTTGAAATATCGACAAACTGTCCTCCTGTTATCGAGCAATCACGTTGCTTCAACAGACTACCGTCCAAACACGAGT